ATTGAGCTGCACACTTACGATATCTGACTCTTCTACTAAATTTTTTTTTTTGAGACAGAGTCTGGCTCTGTTGCCCAGGCTAGAGTGCCATGGCATCAGCCTAGCTCACAGCAACCTCAACCTCCTGGGCTAAAGCAATCCTCCTGCCTCAGCCTCCCAAGTAGCTAGGACTACAGGCACACACCATAATGCCCAGCTAATTTTTTGCTACTTTAAGTAGTGATGAGGTCTCGATCTTGCTCAGACTGGTAAATATTTTCTTTTTAATATGACATGCTTTTCCACTGCCAGGCACAAGTTCTTTTCCATCAAATTTCAATTATATCTATGTTATTGTATTTACCTTCTCATGTTTATTATGCATCATTGTATATACATCTCTAAATTTATGTGTCCTATATAATAGGGGTACTTTACTTACGTTATCCCATTAAACTCTCACAACAATCCAAGGAGATAAGTCTTGTAACTCCCGTCTTACAAATAAGGAAAGTGAGAGTTGGAATATTTAAAAATTACTTATGGTGACCACTCAGTTACACTAAGCCAGAACTGGAATTCAGAACTCTCTGACTCATAACCTTTGCTCTTTCCACAATAACATGGTACCATTCATGTTCTTCCTCAGGTTTTTCTTCCCCTGGGAATTAGTAAATACCTCAATAAAAATTCAACATCTACTGAGTACCTCCCACATGCCAGGTCCTGGTTTCATCATTGGCCATGCAATAATAACCAGTCCCTCCCCTTAATGAGCTCTTTAAAGAGCTCATTAAAAGGGGATAACCATGCAAGCTAAATACAGTGTGATAAGCGCTATAGTAGAGGGTTGGACTTTATCCTGTGGTCCTGTGGCTTGTATCCTTTATGGAATCCAGTTATATAACTTACCTGGTTATTTTTCTCCCCTCTCTTTCAGTTTAAAAGCCCTCTTGATAAGAACAAGTCTCCTGCCAAATACATTCTTCTAATTCTTATGAAATTCAGAGTGGTACAAAGGAGACTGGAAGCTTCCCAAACAGGGAAAATAATGAGCAAAGGTCAAGGTCAGGAAGGAGTAGGGTCTGCTTAGGCTACTAAGGAAACCAGCTTGATGGGAAAGTTTGCCTTTGGAAAGGCAAGGTAACACCAGATCTAGACTACAGATTGCTTAAAAGGCCAGGCTGAAACAGGGGTTTGAGCCACTAGGCAACAAGGACCTATTGTAAATTATCAACTCTGGTAAGATAAAAATGTTATTTTAAAGTAGGGCAGGCAGTGGTGCCTCATAAAGGCTGAAATTAGAATATTCTGAAGGTCAGAAGGCTAGTGAAGCTCAACAAACACTGAAAACTCACATTGGAGAAACAGGGGTAAGAAAATGAAAGCCAGTTTCTGCCTTTGAGAAGTTCACAATCAACTGGGAGAGACAAATGAACAAAAATGTAGTGTAATAGATACAGCACAAGTATGTGATAAACACAAACCTGGGACAAAGTAGGTTGAAAGGGGGGAGTTTAATTTAGTATGAAAAGGAGGGCAGAAGGCTAGAGAAGTGCATATAGCTGGTAAACTCTAGTGCTTTAGCCTTACCTGCTTGAAATACCATGTTACCCCGAAAATAAGACAGGGCCTTATATTTATTTTTCCTCAAGAAGACACTCTAAGGCTTATTTTCAGGGGATGTATTATTTTTTTTAAGTACGGTACAACAATCTACATTTTTTCAAATATAGTTATTTTTTCAAATATAGTCTTCTTCTGGAACATCATCATAACTCTCCAAACCCCAAATTCCATCCTGAATTTCTCACGATTCTATTTCCTTTAGAACCATTGGCCCCAATCTCTCATGTCAAGCAATACAGCTCTCATAGGGCAGATGAGAAGGGCTGCTCATCTTCTTTACCACTTCCCAACAAAATGCATGGGTTGTGCAGATACGCTGCGCAGCCACCCCCATCACTAGGTCTTATTTTCAGGGTATGGCTCATATTGCACAAATGCTTAGAAATCCTGCTAGGGCTTATTTTATGGGTAGGTCTTATTTTCGGGGAAACATGGTAGCTCTGAGGAGAGGGAAAGAGAACTTAAAGGCAAGCTAATGGCTTGGAACAGCCTATCACGATTAGGAACCCAACAGATGGAGAAAGAAGAATGTTCTCTCAACAAAGATCAAGCCAGAGGGTATGATTATGTGGTAGGCCAGGTCAGGTTACCTCCGGGATTCTCTCTAACCCTCATCAGCTGTAAAGCTAAAGAAAGCAAAGGTATAAATTGGCAGGCCCGGAAGGGGGCTAGAAAACTAATTTATGGTGATAGAAGATAAATGTGATTGCCTAGAAAGGGAGTAGGGGTAGAATTGACTGGAAAGTGGAACCTAGAGAAATTCTGGGGATTTCAGCATTCTAGATCTTGTTCAGAGTGTTGGTTCCAAGTTAGCATACTGAGAACTCAATGAATTGACCACTCAATGAATTGACCACAGAACTGGGCATTTTATTATAGGTAAATTGTACCTCCATAATAACAATAAAGAAATGCTATAACAAAATTATAATGAAGACCTGGGGAGGGGAACAGTTAAGACTCAAAACAAAGACAGAAATTAGACCCAAGGTAAATTAGACCCTAGGAAAACCTTCCCAACCTGCCAATCAAAGGGATTTGTGTATTGGGGGAAAGGGTAACTGACACCTACTATTTGCCAGACCCTGGGCTAGACTCACATATTTCAACTTTATTTCCAGACCCAACAATGCCTGGCTAAACTCAGAGGATAATGTAGTGTGATTAGCCCAGAGAGAAAGTGGGATAGATAGCTCTATTACAGAGAAGCTGGAGAGCCCAGATGAATGGTTGATTTTAAACCATGTGGTGTGTATACTGTGAGATAAAAATGTAGGGCAGATGGGTATAGTTGAGAAGGCAGAAAAGAAGAAAAGAAGGTGAGAGAAAGGCAAGGAATGCAGGAAATATCTGAAAGAATTTCTTCAGAGACTTGAAGAATCAGAAAATTGGGTTCATCTGTGACCCAACCTTCTCTGCCACAGATAAATAAATTTTTTAACTACTTCGGTACGAGCGTCGACTATAGTTGATAGCCACAGATGAACGCACACAGCGACTTTAGCTGATGGCCGTGATATGAAGACACACAGCCGAGCATCGACTTTAGCTGACAGCTGTGATATGACTTTTCTAATTTTTCATTTATCAAAATAAAATTGTGAGCATTTAAAAATAACGTAATAACAACATGTATGTATATGTTACCTATTCTGATTTACATTACAAGTAAAGCTGCCTGTAAAGTAAAACAAGCTTTCAGTGCTTTAAAGCTTTCCTTATGGCCAGGGGCGGTGGCTAACGCCTGTAATCCCAGCACTCAAGGAGGCCAAAGCAGGCAGATTGCTCAAGGTCAGGAGTTCGAAACCAGCCTGAGCAAGAGCGAGACCCCATCTCTACTATAAATAGAAAGTAATTAATTGGGCAACCAATATATATAGAAAATAATTAGCTGGGCATGGTGGCACAGGCCTGTAGTCCCAGCTACTCGGGAGGCTGAGGCAGGAGGATCGCTTGAGCCCAGGAGTTGGAGGTTGCTGTGAGCTAGGCTGACGCCACGGCACTCACTCTAGCCTGGGCAACAAAGTGAGACTCTGTCTCAAAAAAAAAAAAAAAAAAAAAAAAAAAAGCTTTCCTCATCACATAAGAGCAAAACGGATTCGTCGTCAATGCACAGTGCATAGCACAAACTATTGTGCGGACTATGAGTGCTGGCTGTGGGCAAGGTTTCTCGGCCAGTGAGCACAGTACTGAAGTGGTTAAAAATCCAAGTACTGAAAACTCTGACACTAAAATATTTAATGTCCTAAAGGATATTCATCAAACTATGCATTATGCTAGAGGGAAGGTATACACTTACTGTGTAGTGAATTTTGTTTCAGTAAGCATGTGCTATTTCATTTTTTTTTAACCAATTAAATGTTGTTAAATCCAGTGTAAAATAACAGTGCTGATAAAAACAGGGACCTGGTTTTGGTGGCACAGGAAGGGCTCCTGTAATCTGTGTGTGACACATCAGTACGGATGACGGGTGCCTTCCATTCCCTCATGCAAAGGCCTGGAATTGCCCTTTCATTTCCTCACCCCAGTTACAAAGTCTGAGGGAAGTGAGGTCAACGCTAAGGAGTTGAAGGTCTATTGCGTTAGGCAAGCTTCTTCTGTAAAGGGCCAGTTAGTAAAAACATTAGGTGTTGAAGGACAAAGTGCAACTATTATGCCACTTTTGCACAAAAGCAGCCATAGATAATACATAAACAAATGGTCACAACAGCTTAGGCAGTTGGGGCCATAGTTTGCTGACCTCTGATCTAGAGCAGTTACACTTGCTTCTGGCTGCATATAGAAATCACCAGAGGGACTCATAAAACCACTAATGCCCAAATTCCATTGCCCAAATCTGGAGGTAAAAAAAAAAAAAATCAAGAATTTTTTTTAAGCTACTAGTGATTCTCATGTGCATCTTGGCTGAAAAAAACTATTTTAGAAGAATTGTACATTTCAAAAAATTTTTCTATTTGTTAATTTTTTTGGAGACCAGTCTCTGTCGCCCTGTGCCATGGTGGCATCATAGTAGCTCAATGCAACCTCAAACCCCTGGGCTCAAGCGATCCTCCTGCCTCAGCCTCTCAAGTAGCTGGGACTACAAGCACCTACCACCACACCCAGCTAATTTTTCTATATTTAGTAACACAGGATCTCACTGTTGCTCAGGCTGGTCTTCAATGCCTGAGCTCAAGTGATCCTACTGCCTCAGCCTCCCAGAGAGCTAGGATTACTGGCATGAGCAACCGCACGCCTGGTGAAAGAATTACACATTGTAGCCTCTCAGGAAACTGCTAGAATTTGGGGTGGGGAGAGGTAAATACTAGGAGAAAAGGCACAGGGCTGAATTAAGGTCTAGATTAAAATTAGAACGCTTTTGGACCACCTGAAAAATTAAGTGCTTCCAATACTTTAATTAACGGCTCTTTATTTGATGCTTTTATGTGCACAGCACTATAAGCAGTTGCCCAACCCAGCAAGTCAGCCCCTTGATCACCCTTAGTTAAGGTGGCCACTGGGGGCCGGGGCGGAGGAGGGACCAATAAGCCACTTTCTACCTCTGACCCTCTTTCTCCAACCATTCTCTATAGGCCCCAGCGTAGTTTCGAGCCCTGTGGAGACAAAGAGGGGTGAGGGAAGGACAGGCCCGGTAGGCAGTCCCCAGTCATTTCCCAGCTAGCAAGCCACACCTTCCCGTACCCTGTGTATCCGAGGCCCCGGGCCAGCTGCGTGGCCTGGAAGCCCCGCTTGCCCATCTGACAGAAGAAAACGAGATTCTCATCTTCCAGCTTGGGCTTCTCAGCGGAGTACAAAGCCTGGAAAGCAGCTGGCTCCATCTGCAGGGCACTTTCCAACTCGGACACTGGGAGGAGGAGTGGAGGGGACAGAATGGAGAGCTGGCAGCTCGGCACTCTCAGGTTCGCAAGTTGGGCCTGGAAGGGCTGGAGGTCGAACAAAGCTACGGGGGACTCCAAACAACACATGGTGGCCACTGCCCCCACCCCAGTCTCCAGGACAAGAAACATCCTACTCCTTCAGGGAGTCAGCCAAACAACCTTTGAATGTGAGCCACTTCCCCGAGTCAGTCGTGAGGTTGGGTGGAGGTGGGGTGGGGGTGGGGATGGGGATGGGGATGGGGATGAGGGCGGGGGCGGGGGCCAGGCGGGCGGCCTCAGGCAAGCAGCCTCGGGGAGGTCAAGCGCAGAGAAGCCAGTCTGCCCCTCTCACCGCCTGCTATCCCCTCAAACTGGATGGGCGGGTTCCGCAGCCAGGATCTGCGTCCAATCAGCCCTTCTCTAGGGAAGCTGAGGGCTGGCTTACGATAACGCAGGGCCCCGTAACCGGTGCCTTTCCCACGCCATCCTACGCGAGGTCGCATTAGCTAAGCCCCTCCTGAGCTGTCAGCTCCACCACCGGGGCGTCCCCTCTCAATCCCATACCCGGGATGTTGAGCGCCCCTGGGATGGTCCCAGCTGCTGCCTCCTCCCGAGATCGCACGTCGAAGAGCCGGGCCCGGCCCGCGGCTAGGAGCGAACGGAGTTCAGGATGCGAGACCGTGGGCGCTGAGGAAGGAGCACGAGAGCCGGCAGGTGAGGGGGACTCCAAGGCACCGCTGTCACAGCGTTCCCTCACCTGACAGCGCCCCAACCCGGTGGGGGCGCCCACAAGGACCTCTCCGCCACGCCCCTTCGCTGCTCCCGCCACGGAACACCTCAACCCAGGGGCCATGTGGAGGACGGGACGAGGTCCCAGGTCTCCCCCGCAGGTACCTCCAGCCATGGTGCGTCTAGCGACTGGCAGGAACGCAGCCCCTGCCCACCCCCTCTGCCAGCGCAGCATCTACCCTTCGCTCCCGCCCCCAGCCGAGACCGGAAACGGAAGCGAAGGCATGGCCTCCAGCACCGCCCCTACAGCACCTGTTTCTGGTGCCTCTAATACCAGCCCACTGGAGACGTCCTTAAGACTGCCCGGCATGGCCAGGAAACACAGTGGTTTGGCCCTGGTACCAGGACTCAGGGTAATGAGTACAGGTGCAGCGCCCCACCCTAAACTCAGCCCAGCCCTTACTGGTCAAAGAGCCCTATGCCCCATCCCTCCCGCCCTGGGGCCCACAAAAGGAGGAAAAACAGACAATTGTGGCTCTGAACGATTTTATCTTTTAAAAAAAAAAAAGGAGAGGAAAGAAAGGAAGAAAAAAAAAAAACACCCCCACAAGGGGGAAGGCCCCAAGTGGGCCCCTGCCTGTTGTTCTCCCTGGCTCCAAAGACTTCTGCATAAGCCTTAGCCACTGGCTGGCCAATCTCCTCTTCATGGGGCAGCAGCCACTGCTAAGCATCCTTCCCCCCACTTCTTGCTTAAGCCTGCTCCTGAGTCACCAAGTGCACATCTAAACCTCAGCTCCAGGGAAAGGAAGAACCCATGGCAGTGCCAGAGTCCTGGGGCAAGCCAGAGCATCACCTGTCAGCAGACTCTCTGCTGGGCACTCTGAGCAGGCACAGGGCAAGCCCCCCAGTTTAGTGTGTCTAGTATCCAGCATGGAGACAGCACATGCGTTGTGCAAGAGGAGCACAAGGGCCCAGGGGCTGCATGGTGGAGGTGGGCAGGGCTGTCAGTGCACGTCCACATTGTGTGTTTCACACCATTGCAGGATGCCGTATCACAGGGCCTCAGTTCAGAGACACGCCTTCTGAACTCCCCCCAGTCCCATGCCAGAAGTGGGCAGTGAAGGAAAGGGGCATAGGATTAGGCTGTTACTCCTGGGCTATCTGCAGTTCTTGGGCCCAAAGCCCTTGAATCCTCATAGTTAGTTGCTGTCATTCTTGATGACGACCTCTAATCCATGGTGCCGCAACTGAGCTCGTAGCAGCAGATTCTTGTTTTTAAGATCTTCCACCTGACATGGGAAGGAGAGAGTAAGAGGAATAGGTAGAAAAGTTGGCATTAGCAAGCCCCTGAACTTAGACATCCCCAGGTCAAGAGAAAAAGGTGAAGCCCTCTCTATGGAGAAAAAAGTAGGAAGTCCTAAACTGGGTCAGTGGCCACAAAAGTTGAGGAGACATATACTGTAGGTAGGAGTCTGACCTGCTGTCGAAGCACATCATTGTCCAGCTGCAGTTGGTCAAGCCCTTGCAGTTCTTCAGACAAGCGGTGATTGCTCTGCCGAAGCTCCTGGATATAATCACAAGCTTTGGATAGAATCCCACCTTTGCTCTGCAAGACAGGGCCAACAAAATGAGGACTAGGATTTCAGATAGCTAGCTTGCTTTCCAAAAGTAGTTCACACTTTGGACTTCATTTTCCCCTAAGAATGGTGATAAAGCTCTCCCAGGGACACAGGAACCTCAGAAAGATAAGAAAAGATGACGGCTGTGTACGCCCCACTCGCTACCATTTCTGGAAACAATACCAGGAGACAGAATTCAGGCATCCTGCCCACTACCAGGGTCTTTCCATGACCTGGCCAGACTTGGTGCTCTCCATCGAGCAGTCTGGGATGATCTTGGACAGCTGCACAATCCAGTTGTTGATCTTGTCCCTGCGGCGGCGCTCCACTGTGGAGCAAAGTGGAGGACAAGGTAACTTAGTGAAGACTCACCATAAGCCCCAGAGTAAAATTACCTAACCCCACTTCCCCTCAGACATCACTGCTGACCCAAATCCTACCAGACAGCTCCTAGCTTCACATCTGGATCATGCCTACCTTCATTATGCTGAGCCCTGCGTTTCTCATCCCGCGTTGTCCTGGGAGCTTCTGACTTCCTGACAACAGAGCCCAGAGTAGCCAGAGTGAGGGAAGGACAAAAAATAAAATACAAATTTGGGGTAAAAAATTACACAAGATTTAGCAGGTATTAAGAGCACTCATGGAAATTAAGAAACAAGGGTCACTCACGGGGAATAAGGGTGTGTCCTAGGGGCAATCGAGCGCTGGCTTCCTCCCTGCAATACTTCTTGTGGTGACATCATCACAAAAAATTGACCTGTGAAGATGCAGAGTAGGTTCTGTCAGGACATGCGACTAGGAACCTCACCAATCCCTGAAGCAAAGACCTTGGGCCCCTCCTCTAAAAAGAACATGTTATCGGGGCACAGTGGCTCACACCTGTAATCCTGGCAATCTGGGAGGCTGAGGTGGGAGGATCACTTGAGCTCAGGAGTTCGAGACCAGCCTGAGCAGGAGCGAGACCCCATCTCTACTAAAAATAGAAAAACTAGCCTGGCATCATGCCTGTAGTCCCAGCTACCAGGGAGGCTGAGACAGCAGGATCGCTTGAGCCCAGGAGTTTAAGGTTGCTTGAGCTAGGCTGACACCACTGTACTCTACTCAGGGCAACAGTGTGAGACTATCTCAAAAATAATAATAATAAAATGAAATAAAAAGAACTTATTTCCTCCTGCTAGAAAGACAGCCCCAGATTCACTACCTGCTCAGGTCTTAATAATTACTAAGGGTCGAGAGTGAAGGCCCACTGCCCAGCAGTCATGTCCCACAGCCTATCCTAGCCCCTCCAGCCCACATCCTCACACAGTATCTCACCAGTGCCAGGAGGGGTCGCCTGCCCCAGTAGTGCCTCTGAGCCCTGGGTAGTAACAACAGCAGCTGTACTCCCCGACGTGGTACCCCCTGCCCCATCTCCCACTGCAGTGCTGGGGAAGTAAGTATAGTGTGTCTCAGCAGCTGTGCCCTCTGTGTCAACTGCATCATCGCTGGTGAAAGCACCCTGGATCACTGCCTGGGAAGGAGAGCAAGAGAACAGAGTCCATGATGTCAGATACTTCTTCCCACTGTACCACTCGGCAGCTTCTATCCTTGGGGGAAGAGAAACATCCAGAAAGGGAGCCTAGGGCCTTAAGACAAGGCAGCCCTAGATGCCTCACCGTTCCTAGCTTCACCCCCATCCTATTGGTTCCCTTCTTCATCTTACTTCTCAGAGCTTTAGTCCCCTCCCCAGCTCATACCCCTGTACCTGGGTCATGGATTGAGTAGCAGGGTAGCCACTGATGGCGCCAGTACCCTCAGTCTGGCCATCCAGCTGTCCCTCGGACACCTGGATCACCCTGTACATCACCTAGAAGCAGAGAGAAAGGGGGAGGGAGGGAAAGAAAGAAGAAAAGAATAAGTACTAAGAATTCCAGTCATAAAGCTTTGAGCCCCTTGGATACAGCCCCAAAATAAGAATCCTTTACAGATACAAATTCAGCCATTCTCCCTTCTTTCCCCATACAGAGGATTCAGCATACTCCTACTTGACACCAATCTCTACTCCAAACCTTATAGTAGTGTAACACCCCCCACCCACTGTAGTCCACATTTTCACTTCATCTTCCAAGCCAGGTTTACCCAAAATATGTTCAATTACCTCCCTCAATCCCAACCCCAGGTAACGTCTGCAGCCACCTGGCCCCCTCCCTTACCTGGCCCCCATTCTCAGTTCGGAAGACGTACTTGACGTTGGGATCAGGGAAGGTGGCAGCTGACTGGATGCTGGCAATAGCCACACTGGTTGGGTCCTCCCCAGTAGCCACTGCACCTGAATTACAGGAGCAAAGGAAAGGTCTGTGAGTTAACTGCCTTTCTCCTTCTCTTCCACTTGCATGTCATTGAAGGAGGGACACATAAGAGATGGCCTGGTGAGGGAGGAAAGAGAGCCATGATGGCTGGATCTTGATTCTGTTCCTAACACTTACCTTCCTGAATCTGCACTGTCCCCTCTTCAGTTTCAGCTGTTTTCTGCTGCCTATTTGTGGTGAAAGGACAGAAGAAAGAATAAGGGAAGAAGTGTATGAAAAGCTCACTGGCCCAGTAACATATGACTCCCAAACTCGTTGGCATTCCCAACAGATACTGGGTTAACTTAAAATAATAATAACTGGTACTTACTGAGTGTTTCCTATGTATATAGGCACTAAGCTAAGCAGATAACATGTACTATCTTATTTAATACTAAGAATAGCTCTATGAGATAGGTAGCACTACTTCCATTTTATAGACAGGGAAACCAAATCACACAGCTAATAAGTGATGGAGTGGGGCCTGAATCCAGGTCTACCTGACTCTAGAGCCAGTGCTCTTAGCCATTTTGCATTCTCCCAGGCCACCACCCATCTTTCATTCCAGACTCTACCTCTTCTTCACTTACCCCTTCATCTCTCTGCGAGGGGGCACATGCGAGGAACTGGTTCTCTTTTGGAAGTATTGGTGTCTCCTGATTCACAGGCCTGAGTGCTAATTCCTGTTAGAAATCAGAGTTTGCAGTGAGTCTAGGAAACAGAACAGCCTCTCTGGTTCTAGAACTTAGGCTCCATGAAGACACAACCCAGAAAATAACCGAATCATCTGCAGGGGACAATCAGCTTCCCCCATTTTGAAGCTGAGGACTGGCAAACAGTGATTGAAAAAGCAAGTCTATAAATAGTGTTCCTTGCCCCTCCATTATCACTCCAACCCCTCGTAGAGAGGGGATAATTATACTGGAAGACAGAAACAACATATTTCTGGATGTATTATTATCAAAGCTATTATGACCTGCTATGACGGCAGCTTCGTGGGAATTAGGAAGAGCCATGTATAGACCACTACTATCAAAAAACATAAGATCATAGACACTGATACTTCTTTCAGCTTCTCAGCCACATACTGTACACCAAGAAATTTCTGTTCTCAAATTTAGAAAGGGGAAATCTGAAGCCCATTGCCACTGGAAAAACTTCCCTAACCACAAAGACTAGACTTGGCCCTTACACCCCATTATACTGACAGGGCTCTTGTTTTGGGGTGTCTAGATTTATATAATCTGTTAGAGACCCTAAAGTCCAAGTGCATCATCTTCAAGCCCCTACTGTTTTATTCATCAAGCCTACCTGTAGAACAACACAGTTGCTAAAATGTTGCTATGACAACTCCAAATCAATTGAGCCTCAGCAAGAAGGGAAAAAGCTCCAGGCCCATGGTTTTGAGGAAGAGACAATAGGAAAGGAATCCATCTACAAGGTGCCTGCCTTAGGACCCTGACATCCAGCCAGAGGACAGGAAAAACAAAGAGCTGAGCCGACAGATGCATCTAGAAAGAAACAGCTACACAGTAAGTACGAAGCAGTAAAATAATCCCAACACGAAAGTGGCAAGACTTTTGTAAATTCTCTACCCATAAGATTCTCCAAACCTTTCCTAGCCAAGGAAAATCTTCGGCGGATAAGCATGGTAAAGCCCACGTCCAAGGAAAATGTTAACCAAAAAGAAAAATGGGGGGAACTGAAAGTGAAACTGTTCGGAGGGAGGAAGCAGCGCCGCAAGGAGATCCCAGTCCAAAAGGGGAAGTAGCACTAGTGTTTTGGGACCACCTACGTCTCCATCCTCAAACCTGAGGAGGAAGTGCCCCTCCAAGGCTTGCTTCGCAGACTGCAGGCGGCGGCAATGGAAGAGAGGGCAGGGCACAGGAGGCGTCTCTATTGGCCACAGCTGTCAGCTAGGGGTAGCCTCTGAGGACACCAAGCAACCGGGTCAGACTACTTATTCAAATCTTCGTTGGACATCCGGAAGCATTTCCTGAGCATTAAGGATATGTGACAAGGAAACTGGGATGGGATGTTGTGGCGTGCACGCTCAGGCAAGGACCGCGCAGTAAAAGCTTCTCCTAAGCCTGGACACAAAGGAGGAAAAATCAAGTACCGAAAGAAGTCAGGTGCCTAGACCTTGCGGGAGAATGCGGCGTCTCCCTGCAGGCCCACCAACCAGTAGGCGCTGACGGAGCTGAGCGCCCACCGGGCGCGAGCCCGAAAGCCCGAGAACCCGCGCCGTGCCCCGGCCGGCCTCGCCACGCTCACCCCGCGCCTCAGCTGCTCCGCGGAGGAGGCAGGAAGGGAGCCCGGGGCTCGGGGGCCCGGCGTCCGCAGCTGCGGCCTGGGGCTGGACAGCACAGGAGGGCGGAGACGCGCGCACTGGGGGACTGGGAGCCAGTTCGGCCCACAAAGCCCGGTAGGAGATAAAAGAACCAGGCACGGCCCCCTCCCCCAAAACAAAGGCTTCTTTCCCAGGAGTTCCCTAACCTGAAAAGCTGAAACAAAATCAAAGCTGCCCTGCCTTGACGGTCCACCGAGCCTTCAGACTCCCATCCGGCCCTACACTCACCGGCTAAGGCCGCCCGAGCCGCGGATTTTCCCCGACCGTGTTCTCCCTCACCCGACCTGGGTATCTCCATAGACAGCTGCTCATGCGCACTTCCAGCCCGCGGCCATGTTGGTGAGGGGCGGAAGTGTCGCTCTCGGCCCACCCTGTCTACTCGTAGATTCTGAGCCGCCCCACTTCCGTTTGCTCCACCTTGTTGAGGGCTGAAGGAAGAGGGGGTTTGGGCTATCTCTGGGCCGCAAGAGAAGCTTTGTCCTGGAGAATATACTTGAAGTCCTAGCACAGGAGAAAGACGACTAACATGTACTACCATCTTTGTGCTAGGATGGACCTTTCTGGTTCCAGGAAAAAGAAGAGAGGGAGGCTAGTTGAGACCAAGGGAGGGACGACCAACGGAGGCGCCATCTTTAACAAGGGCTATTTGGGAGGCCATCTTGGATCAGGGCATCTTTTTGAAGAGTTTACTACTAGAGATTAGTAGATGTTAACGGCATACACAGATCTTGCCATACTCCTTGATCAGCAGTCACTCACCCAAATACCCCAAGGCTTCTGGTTTTTCAGAGGCTCACACTTTCTGTGACAGGAATCTTGACTCCCATTCTTCTCAGTCCCGACCTACCCTTAATGGATTTGGAGCACTGTGGCATAATAAGAATTCAGACTCTGGGGCCACACAAACCCAGATCTCAAACCTACGGCTGCCACTTCTTACCTGAGATCTTTGATCTCTGCGAACATTTTGACTGAATTATATTTTAGTTTCCTTCTCTTTAAAATGAGATACCAATACAAACCTTACAGAATTGTTATGTGAATTAAGTAAGATCAAGGGCATAGATTTTTTTTCTCCGTCTAAGAGATGGGGTCACCATCTGTAGCCCAGGCTGGAGTGCAGTGGTATGATCACAGCTTGCAGCAACCACAAACTCCTGGGCTCAAGCAATTCTTGTACCTCACCCTCCCAAGTAGCTGGAACCACAGGCTCAGGCCACCATGTCCAGCTAATTTATTTATTTATTTATTTTGTAGATATGAGGTTTTGTTATGTTGCCTAGGCTGGTCTCAAACTCCTGGTCTCAAGTGATCCTTCCACCTCTGCTCTCAAAGTGCTGGGATTACAGGCATAAGCCACCACACCCAGCCAAGGGTGCATAGAATTCTTAGCCCAGTTCCTGCCATATAATGAGCATTATGTAAATGTAAGTTTCTCTTCCCTATTTCCTGACCACCATGAACCCAGCTCTAGTTTCTAGTCACTGGTCTCCATGACAACAACTGAGGATAAGCACCTAAACAGCAAGAAAGAAAAGACAGTATGTGTACAAATATATGAAAATATGGCATCTGTCACCCAAGACTTTAATAAGAATAATGAGACCCCACACTACATGTAAAAATACATATTTTATTCTGAGACATTGGCCCTTACTAGAGTGTATGGCCCCAGCCTTTCTGGGGATGCAGTCCCAGAGCCTAAGTGACACAATTCCCTTTTCCTGAAATAGGTGAAAGTTATCCCAAAGGGAAAAGGAGAGGCCAGAGAGATCTGTACAGAACCTCTCTTCCATGTGGTCCCTGGGGGCAGAAGGTAGGGGAGCTGGAGAGGGGTCCATCCCTCCAGCAAACACTGAGGGCTTCAAAGAGCTCCCTGGATATGTTCCTCCTAACCTGGAGCTAAAAGGATCAGGAAGCATCTAAGAGTTCAGGAATAGAACAAGGTTGGGTAACTCTAGAAGTATATGGAAGACTCTGACCTGGAACTCTCCTTTCCATCTCTACCCTGGGCTCCAATGAAGAGAAATTCACAGCCTCAGAAGACGGCAGGAACTTGGCTGGAATCCTCCCTCTGGTCTTCACTTTGAGAAACCCAAGTTTTTTGCCTACCCTATGTTCCCTTTGGCCAATGACCCCACTCCCTGGGAACAGGATCTTGGTGACTTTCTTGGGAATCTCCTAAGAGATAAGTACTTTGTGTCTGAGACAACCTCACGTAAACCAACCAAGGCAGTGCCTCCCACAGTCAAAAGAGAAAGTAGGAGAGCCAGAGCCTATAGAGTTGGGCACTACAGCTGCTCAGGCTGCAGAAGAGATAGCTAGTCAGGGACCCTGGAGATTCAAGACAATATACTGGTCCCCTTTGCCCAGGGCTCTTATCTTAATCACAGTCCCTCACCTTTCCCATGGTTAGCCTGTGTTTCAAATGCATATGATCGGCGCTGGGGGGGCAAAAGAGGGTCAGGAAGCTGAGGTTCTCTGGGGGGCAGACTAAGCCGACTTCGGGGTCCAGACTCTTCTGTGCCTTCAGATGGGAGCTCCATGCAGCTAAGGGGCCAAGGAGAATGGGCAGGCATCATGCTACAGGGGGAGGTTCTGGGGATGAGGCTATAGTCCCCACCCCCAGTACAGGTCTGGGTCCGCCGAACTCCCTGAGCCTCAGTCCTTTGGCGGTCCCTGGCCAGGGCCACAGCAGCATCAAAGGAAAGACTGCCCCCATTCCTCCAAGAAGATCGAGAAGCCCGGGACCCCCAAGCCCTTTCCCCAGGAGTCCCATCAAGCCGGCCGGGTCTTGGGCATGGGTTTGCAGGTGCTACATGGATCTTGGTACACATTGCACTGGGCATCTTGGCAAACTGTGGTTTGGGGGGCACCACAGGCACAGAGCGGACCTGTTGGATCTGAACCAGAGTGGAAGCTAGGCGCATGCCCACACCACCAGTGGAGCCAAGGGGACAGGGGCACAGATTACAGCTCTCTGGACTGGGCTGCCTCTCAGGTTCCATCTCCTCTGGAGGAGGTGGCTGTGGGGCTACCTGTTCCATCTCAGAAGACTGGGCATTGCCATCTTTGGCACAGTCAGCCTCCAAGGATTCTACATCTGAACCTTCAGAGAGGGCACCCTCTTCTAAATGGTCACCTCCAGCCCTTTGGTCTCCCTCAGCTTCTCCATCCCCACTCTCCCTTTCCTTGCTGACTCCCCCTGCTCCTCCTTCAGCTGCTTCTGGACTTCTGCTGTCTTCACCATCTCCTTGGTCTTCTCTTGCCTCAGGGTCCCTGTTCCCCTTCTGTTCTTTGACTTCATCCTCTCTGTCTCCCTTAGCTTCTTGTTTGTGTACAACTTCCCAGTTTTCCTCAGCAACTTCATGTTCCTGGGTCCTGTGCTCTGGGTCCCTTCCATCTTCTACCTGGGCTTTCTCTCCTTGCTCAGCCTCTTCTTCTTTCTCAATCTCTCTTTCCTTCTCTTTGTCTTTATCCTGCTCTCCTCCTGGTTCCTCCACACCCTTAATCTCTTCTGTACTTTCAGCCTCCTTCTGACCTTTGGACTTTTCTTCCTTGGCCTCTGTCTCTTCCCCACTCCCTTCTCTCAAACTGGCCATTGTCTCTTGGCTTCCTACAGCCTCACCTCTGTCCTCACCACCCTTTCCAGCCTCCACCTCAGTCTCTGGACTCCCTTCAGCCTCTTCCCTGATATCCCATCTGCTTCCAGGCTCAGCCTCCTTGTCCTCTCCCACTGCGCAGCATGCCTGCTCTTCCTCAGCCTGTCCTGGAGCCTGCCTTCTGCACCCTGCTGCCTCTTCCTCCAGACTCTCTGCAGCCTCCCAGGTTGGGGTTTTGGGGTCAAGAAGGGGACTTAGGTCATCATAGGCACTCAAGAAGACTTCTTCCCCATTTTCCTCCTCTACTTCAGGCCTGGGGCCAGCCGAGTCCAGGGAACAGCAGCTGGGAGCCAGGACAAACTGCGCCTCATCCAGAGACAGGTCATCCAGGGGTGGCTCCACAGAGAACTCCTCCACCTGTAGGCACAGCATTGTGGCTCAGGACCAGGAGGCCCTGTTCACCCTCTGGACTCCATGCCACCCTCAAACCCAGCACAGCTTCTCCTTACCTGAGGCCCAACTCCCAGGAGCTCCTCCAGGTAGCCCATCCCAGGGTCGTCCTCCCCAGGGGAGAAGGCGGCTCCTGCTGCTTCTGCCTTGGCCACCTCCCCATCCTCCGCCCCCACCCACTCAGGCTCTGAGCTGCTTGAGTCCTCTAGGAAGGAGAAGGAATCCTGCACCTCCTGGGACAGGGAGTCCTCCAGGGCAGGAGCCATGTCTTCTGGGCCTGAGTCAGCCAGGGAATCTGAGGCTGGACTTGCCTCCGACTTCTCATCTGTTGGGAGAGAAGTAGTTCTAGGAATGCAATGGTCAAGCAAGGCCAGCTCTGACTCTTTTCAATATAGGTCTTCCTAGTATTGATATGGTAAGGGCCCAACACTTTCTGCATAGATAACTCCACGTAGCTGATCCTCTCAGACCAACATCCCTAATTATTGGCTTATAGCTACCTTGATTGAAAGCTTATCAGGGCCAAGCACTGTGCCATACATTTATAATGCATTGCCTTATTTTCTCTGCAAAACAAATTATTATGTGAGGGTATAGTCCCCGTTAACATATGAGAAACTGAGGCTCAGAGAGATTAAGCAATTTGTCCAAGGTCACCCAGCCAATAAGTAGCACAAAATTTGAACCCAAGTGTAATTAACTCTATAGCCCATGTTCTTACCCACTATCCTATGCTGCCTCAGGGCTTCTCACCAGTGACATTTCAGGAACTGAGTCAGAGCAAGGATCAGATCCCAGCTCTGCCACTTTCTACCTAAATCAATAGCAAATTGCTTAACCTAAGTCTCAGTTTCCACTTCTGTAAATTAAGGATAACAACACCTTTGTCATAAGGTTATGAGGAAACGAAACAAGCTAATGCCTGCAAACACTGCCGTTGGCACATAATAAGCTCTTTTTTCTTTCTTTCTTTCTTTTTTTTTTTTTTTGAGACAGAGTCTCACTTTGTTGCCCAGGCTAGAGTGAGTGCCGTGGCATCAGCCTAGCTCACAGCAACCTCAATCTCCTGGGCTCAAGCAATCCTCCTGCCTCAGCCTCCTGAGTAGCTGGGACTACAGGCATGTGTCACCATGCTGGCTAGTTTTTTCTATATATATTAGTTGGCCAATTAATTTCTTTCTATTTATGGTAGAGATGGGGTCTCGCTCTTGCTCAGGCTAGTTTCGAACTCCTGACCTTGAGCAATCCATCTGCCTTGGCTTCCCAGGGTGCTAGGATTACAGGTGTGAGCCAACATGCCCGGCCTCTTTGGGCCTTTTACTGCAAACTCTCCAAGCAGCCAGTAGGTCAAAGTTTACCCCTCCTACGTATACCTAGGGAATTCTTTTCCTTCTCTGCAGATGCAGTCACTGGACATCACCATTACACACACACAGACAGACAGACACACACACACACACACACACACACCGTGCTGTCCCTTCATGTACAAACATTCATCAACACACCCATAGGTTAGGCAACACGCTTACCACTGTAAATTTAGCATCCGGCACTGTGGCTGATGTATAATAGGTTCTCTTTAAATATTTTTTGAAATAATTTAACCCAGTTGGCCACATGGACACACACTCATGGGCCCATGCTGTTGGTCACACAGCACACACACATACACGTGAAGGAGTGCACACCTGTACTCACCATCACTGGCCCCAGCTGCAGCACTCAGTGAGTCCATGCTCTTGGCTGGCCGCAGTGTCCCCTTATTGGATTTGTCCTCTGCAAGACAGGGATGTGTGTAGAGCCAGGGCCTTGTACACCCTCAGCAGAGGTCCCCCCACCTCCCCAGACTTACCTCTGTCATCAGCCCCCCGTGGAAGTTTACGCTTTGTCTCATGGCCAGAACGACCTAGATTGAAAATAGATCTCCACTTCCTGACCTTCAAAGACCCCTTCCTCCTGCAAGGAATGGAGAAATCATTGGGGGTTGGGGCCTGGTGGTTGGTGCAGGGGAGGAGGGCCCAGGAAGGAGGGCTTACTTGTGCTCTGCAATCTCAATGATAGTATGGTAGGGCCGGATCTGTGGGGGCCCATCGCCGGCCTGCAGGATGCTAGGCAGGTGGTAAGGCAGGGACCTGGGCATAAGGTCCTCAGGGCTGCCTGATGCCCGGGCCCCTGGAAGTGGTCGCCATCCACTGTCCACCCGACAACCTGGGAAAAGAAAAGGAATTGGCCAGCCAAGAACAGAGCTGAGAGAGGGACCTCAAGTACCCAGCCCTTCATTACCCTCATCAACTACCAGGCTAGGGATACACTCGGAGGCCCCTGGAGATAATACCTCCATGTCCAGCTCCTCAAGAAGATATCCTCATGGACAAAGAGGCACAGGACATCCCAGGACATTGACTGGGGTGGGATGGGAGGTAAGTATGAGCCATCACTAGCCTTGGGAGCCAGGATGGTGATTCAGAGGTCAAACTATGTCCTGGACAGCAGAAGGGGCCTGCTGTAGTCCTGACTGCACCCACCGTCATCTATCCAGGGTTCTCCAGAGATATCAGTGACTATCACCAACATCTCTCTATGTGGCTCAGTTTTCCCATCTGCAAAATGGGGAAACTGAACTAGGTGATCTTTGAGGCCCTCTATAACTGACGTGACTTCCCAGACAGAGAGTGGTGATATGTGGAGGGCAGGAAGGACACTGACCAGAAAGGGCAGCACCCCCAAAGAGCTGGTCCACATGTGTGAGGATGAACTCAACGACGATGGACTGCACACGCACCTCCATGAAGGCTGCTGTCCCATTGAAGCCCGAGGCCTCTATGTCCTTAGACCTGTAAAGATGTGGAGTTATTCTCCCCTCAGGCCTACCACATTTTCCTGTCCAAACTTCTCCCTGAAAATATCTTCTACTCTCTTCCTTGCATTCCCTTAATTCCCTTGCATTCTTCCCATTTCTACCTCTTAAACAATATGCATGATTCCTTCAAGGTTCCTCTGGGAAGACTTCTTGGACACTCTCCTTGGGTATATAATCTCTATTTCCTTTGCATACCAGGGTGCCTTGATTATAATGAATTAGAGGACTTTTCGTAGTCTGCCTGCTACCACAGTGAGTGATATGTAGGCCAGTTCTCCAATAGACTGCAAGAGATTTGCTGAAAAAACATTTGGCAAAGACTATGTTCCAGTCCCAGAGCTCAGTGACACAGTGTAGGAGAACACAAAGGTCCTGCCCTTAGGGGACTTTATTTGATTTCAGAGAAGGGACTCAAATAGGTGGGCCCCATCACACTCAACACAATCCTGAACATTTCTTTCTCACTGGGCTTCATGAGGCCCTACACCCCTCTCCAGTGCACCCGCACAGCTGCACCCCATCCTCGGAGCAGCCTCCCAGAGGCTAGTGTCTCCCAGGATCCCCACGAGACGTCACACATACACCCACCTCAGCAGGTTGGGGGCCCACACGATGGCCAGGTTGCGGGCGTGCATGTTGGTCTGGGCACTGAATGAGGCCATGTGCACCAAGTGCCGCATGAGGAACTCCAGCGTCCTGCAGAAAGTGTAGGGGGAAGGGGAAAGAAAGTGGGGGAAGGGATCACACAGGGAATACCCAGGGCAGGGTGTTCCATGGCTGGGGCCTGAGAGCCAGGAGGGACAGACAAGTCAAGGCTCTAGGTGGAGAGAGAGATGCAGAGCCAGGACTCCTGGGGGTGGGGCTGTGAGGGGGAGTCCCACACACCTGTAGTTTGGGACAGGGAGTTCTCGAAGCACCTCTAGGATCTTGACCAAGCGCTCAGGCTCCAATTGCACTGCCACAGCCTCCTGATTGGGGAAGAAGAAGGGTACAAGAAACAGGAGTCAGTGACCCAGAAATGCCCCTGCTTACTCCCCAGAGCTCTGAACCAAACCCTCAGTATCGATCTGCACTGTGCCCCTGTGCTGCCCTGACCCTGGTTCTTCTGAGACACACTAACATAGTAGAGAGAGCTCAGAATCTGGGGCCCACAAAAGATGGCAGCTGAATCTCGGTTATGCCACTTAATAATTTTTGTGAACTTGAGCAACTCACTGCCACTCCCTGCCTTAGCATCCTCATCGGTAAAGTCCTGGTACTGGGAAACATTAGTGGTCCCACCCAGTAGGTGCCCCAGGGACTGTGGAGTCACTTCAGTGTGCCTACACCCACCCCATGTTGCCTGTGTGGACTGAGAGGGGTGCCACTGCTCTTGAGGGTTTCTCAATGCTGTTGTGCTCCATAAAATGCAACTTATTTTCAAAGTGTTACTTAATTCAGGATAGCATTTTTGCCATGTGTTTTCTCATTTAGAAGATGGTCAGCATCAATTACAGTTAATGGAAGGGCACACTTAAAAAATGTTTGGCTTCTAAAAAGTGTTCCCATTCTCTTAAGTTTAGGAAGTGCTAATCGAGATGCTTTCCCAGGGCCTTCCAGCTCTGACAGTCTGGCCTCGCCTTCCCAAGTCTCCCGCGTGCTGTGTGCGTGTGCAGGCCTTAGCGGGAGGACACAGTGGGGGGAGACTGAAGAGAAGGGGGCAGGGGAGGGCAGAGGTAGCAGGGGCTGGGGGATTTAGGGAGGAGTGGGTTTTCCCCCAGTAATGCTTCGCTGTGGTCTCTGCCATTCTGCCTCACTAGGACCCTGGCTGGCATGTGACACACCTGGGCTGTCACAACCAGAGCAGCCACCCATGAGCCCTGTGTTCCACATCCCTACCCCTCAACTCACAGCAAACTTGTCATAGAGCCGGTAAGTGAGGAGGGGATCTGGCAGCTCTCTGAAATAGGCCTTGCACAGGGAGGAGACGCAGTGAATGTCCTGGAGGTAAACATCCCGCCGCAGGTCTGGCTTCCGTTCTGCCTCAAACTCCTGCCTGGGGAGGTGCAGAGTGGTCAGGAGGGTAGGGGTTGGGGTGATGTGGGGAAAGGGGGGAGCTATAGAGATGGGCTCTAGGCAGGGTCATGGGTCAGTATGTGTGGGACTTGGAAGGAGAATGTTGGGGCATGTATATATACACATATGTATATGAGGCAACAAGTGTAAGGTGTTGTATGTGCTGTAGATGTGGATGTGAGGGTAAGTGGATCTGTGCACGAACAGGGGTCTGTTAGGGATGTAGCTGTAGATGTGAGTAGCAATGCAAGGGTATGTAGCAGTCAGCAGTAGTAGGGAAGGGACCCAGAACCTGCCTCTGGACATGTGTAATAATAAAAATGAGTAAGTGTAACTCTTAGAAAGAAACATAATGTAAATCTTCAAGACCTTGGATTAGGCAACAATTTCTTATGTATGACACCCAAACCACAAGCAACCAAAGAAAAAATAGATAAATTGAACATCAAAATTTAAAACTTTTTTTTTTCTTTGAGACAGAATCTTGCTCCATCAACTGGGCTAGAGAGCAGTGGCATCATCGTTGCTCAGTACAACCTTGAACTCCTGGGCGCAGGCAATCCTCTTACCTGAGCCTTATGAGTAGCTGGGACTAGAGGCGCATGCCACTGCACCTGGCTAATTTTTCTATTTTTAGTAGAGACGGGGTCTCACTCTTTATCGGGCTGGTCTTGAACTCTTGACCTCAAGTGACCCGTCCCAGCCTCCCAGAGTGGTAGGATTACAGGTGTGAGCCACCATGCCTGGCCCCATATCTAAAATTTTTGTATGTCAAAGGACACTATCAAAAAAGTGAGGACTGCTGGCTCAGTGGCTCATACCTGTAATCCTAGCATTCTGAGAGGCCCAGGCGGGAGGATCGCTCAAGGTCAGGAGTTCAAAACCAGCCTGAGCAAGAGTGAGACCCCTGTCTCTACTAAAAATAGAAAGAAATTAATTGGCCAACTAAAAATATATAGAAAAAATTAGCTGGGCATGGTGGCACATGCCTGTAGTCCCAGCTACTCAGGAGGCTGAGGCAGGATGCTTGAGCCCAGGAGTTTGAGGTTGCTGTGACTTAGGCTGATGCCATGGCACTCTAGCTGGGGCAACAGAGTGAGACTCTGTCTCAAAAAACAACAAAAAAAGCGAGGACAACTCACCGAACGGGAGATGATATTTCCAAATCATATATCTGATAAGGGGCTAGTACTCAGAACATATAAAGAAGTCTCACAAATTAATTATAAAAAGACAAATAACCCAATTAAAAAATAGGCTGCTGGGAGTGGTGGCACATGCCTGTAGTCTCAGCTACTTGGGAGGCCAAGGCAGGAGGATTGCTTGAGCCCAGGAGTTTGAGGACTGCCTGGGCAACATAGGGAGACCCTCCTCTCTAAAAAAAAAAAAATTTAATTAATTAATAATTTTTTTAAATGAGCAAAAGATTTTAATAGACATTTCTCCACAGAAGATATGCAAATGGCCAATCAGCACATGAAAAGATGTTCAACATCATTAGCTACTAGAGAAATGCAAATGTAAATCACAGTGAAATATCAGTTCACACTCACCACAATGTCTATAATAAAAAAAGACACACAGTAACAATTGTTGGCAAGGATATGTAGTAATTGGAACCCTCATACATTGCTGGTGGGAATGTAAAATGATACAGCTGCTATGAAAAACAATTTGGGATTTCCTTAAAAAGTTCAACACAAAGTTACCATATGACCCAGCAATTCCACTCCTAGATATGTACTCAAAAGAATTGAAAATATATGTCCAGGCTGGGCGCAGTGGCTCACGCCTGTAATCCTAGCACTCTGGGAGGCCAAGGTGGGCAGATGGTTTGAACTTAGGAGTTCAAGACCAGCCTGAGCAAGACCGAGACCCCATCTCTACTAAAAAAAAATAGAAAGAAATTAGCTTGACAACTAAAAATATATATAGAAAAAAATTAGCCAGGCGTGGTGGTGCATGCCTGTAGTCCCAGCTACTCGGGAGGCTGAGGCAGAAGGATTGCCTGAGCCCAAGAGTTTGAGGTTTCTGTGAGCTAGGCTGATGTCATGGCACTCTAGCTGAGGCAACAGAGCGAGACTCTGTCTCAAAAAAAAAAAAAGAAAAGAAAATATATGTCCATACAAAAATTTGTATGTAAATGTTTATAGCAGAATTATTCATAATAGCCAGAAGGTAGAAACAACCCAAATAGCCATCAACTGATGAATGGACAAACAAAATGTGATATAACCATACAATGGAATACTATTCCACAGAAATTCCATACAATGGAATATTATTCCATAGAAAGGAATGAAGTACTGGTACATGCTACGACTTGCATGAACCTTGAAAACACTCTAAGTGAAAAGAGCCAGACACACAAAGTCACACATTATATGATTCTATTTATATGAAATATCCAAAATAGGCAAATCCATAGAGACAGAAAGTATATTAGTGGTTGCCAGGGGCTGGGTGAAGGGGAACTGTGGAGTGACTGCTGATGGGTACAGAGTTTCTTTGGGGGATGATGAAATGTTCTGGAATTAGATGGTGACGATGATTGCACAACCTTGTGAACATACTAAAGACCACTGAATTATACATTTTTAAGTGGCGAATTTTATGGTATGTAAATAATATCTAAATTTTTAAAAATCTGGGTGGGTGTATGTGGGAATGGTGTATGTAGAAGTGGAAATGTGTGTGTGTGTGTGTGTGTGTGCGCGCACGTGCACGCAAACATGTACACATGCAATGATGGGGAGGGGGGCCGGTGGTCCCCAACTTCCTGAGGAGACATTAGAGCTCCTTGGTAAGTTAGTGCCTAGCATCTGTGCTTCCTTCTCCCCACATCCCCTCGCCTACCCTCTCTGTTCTCCACAGCAACTGTCACCACGGCCCTCTGGCTCCCTGGCCTCTGGGCTGCAGAGGCCTCCCGCTCTGTCTGACTCACCGGAGCTTCTGGATGTTGGAGGAGACCCCTGAGAGGCGGTAGATCCCGTCCACCACTCCATACTCCTCTACAAACTCTGCACAGCTCCTTAGTACCTGGGGCACTGGGACACAGACGGGACAGAGAAGGAGAAATCAGGTCTGAGAGGTCAGAGACTCCAGGGGGGTTGAGAAATGGAAGCACTGGGGAAGGGGGTTTGGGGAGATTGAGGGCAAAGCTCATGGAATAAAATATTGTGAGAAAGATTCTTTTTTTTTTTTTTTTTTTTTTTGAGACAGAGTCTCACTTTGTTGCCCAGGGTAGAGTGAGTGCCGTGGCGTCAGCCTAGCTCACAGCAACCTCAGACTCCTGGGCTCAAGCGATCCACCTGCCTCAGCCTCCCAAGTAGCTGGGACTACAGGCATACGCCACCATGCCCGGCTAATTTTTTGTATATATATTTTTAGTTGGTCAATTAATTTCTTTCTATTTTTTTTAGTAGAGACAGGGTCTCGCTCAGGCTGGTTTCAAACTCCTGACCTCAAGCAATCCGCCCGCCTCGGCCTCCCAGAGTGCTAGGGTTACAGGCGCGAGCCACCTTGCCCGGCCCTGTGAGAAAGATTCTTACAGGTGATAGGCTCCAACCGCTCTACAGTGTCTCTGCCCATTGGGTCTTAGAGCCTGGGCATAAAGTCTTGGGTTGGGGTGCAGAGCTCACTGCCTCTCCAGACTACCCAGTCAGTCCTTTGCTAGAAAGTTCTGCGTTTGTTGACCTGAAATTCATCTCTCTGTAATTACTAGTTGCTATGTATGCCAGAATGTTTAAAGGGGCAGCAATCCGGTTGGTAGGGGAGGCAGAGTCAAGGACTCATCTTTAGAGTGAGTTTACATAACACTCAACAGAAGATAAAGGATCATTAGTTGTCTCAACCAAAATGGAACAGGGCTGATGGGGATTATTTTGAAGCACACCTTCTGATAATAAAGCTCACGGCTATTAGTTCTGTCGTAGGAAAGTAAAAAAATTAGTGACAGACCTTCAAATAGGCCAATTCAGGAGAGAAGCACCTATATGCCAAGCACTGCACTGCCTGCTTTATATATGTTCTATCATTAAGTCTTATAAATTAGGCATTTTAGCTCCCATTTTACAGATAAGAAAACTGAGAATCAAAGACGTAACAAGTGCCCAGCAGCACCCAGCTAGAGGCAGGATTCAAATCAAAGAGTGCAAAAAGCTATTAATATATTATCCTTCTCAACCCTGGGTCCCCTCCTGTTATTAGACTGTAAGCTCCTTAAGGACAAGGTCTAATTGTGATCTACCTTGGTATTCCTCATATCACCTGACATGGCGTCTCAGAGGTGATAGAGCCTTAAAAATCATGTGTTGGATTCCTTCTTCTCAATGCCATGGAGTTACTTTTCAAAGCACTTCCTTACTTTAGATCCTTTGCTCCACCTACACCCTGCTCCACCCCACCTTAATCCCTTGCTTACCTTACAGGAACAGAATAAAATGTAAACTTCTCAGCATGGTGTATAAGACCCTTCACAAACCAGGTCCAGCCACCATTCCTTCCTGACTCCAGCCAATTCCCTTAAAAATCCTATGATCTAGCCGGGAATGGTGGCTCACGCCTGTAATCCTGGCACTCTGGGAGGCTGAGGCGGGCGGATTGCTCAAGGTCAGGAGTTCAAACCAGCCTGAGGCCGGGCGTGGTGGCTCACGCTGTAATCCTAGCTCTCTGGGAGCCGAGGCGGCGGATTGCTCGAGGTCAGGAGTTCGAAACCAGCCTGAGCAAGAGCGAGACCCCGTCCTCTACTATAATAAGAAAGAAATTAATTGGCCAACTAATATATACAAAAAATTAGCCGGGCATGGTGGCGAATGCCTGTAGTCCCAGCTACTTGGGAGGCTGAGGCAGAGGATTGCTTGAGCCAGGAGTTTGAGGTTGCTGTGAGCTAAGCTGACGCCACGGCACTCACTCTAGCCTGGGCAACAAAGCGAGACTCTGTCTCAAAAAAAAAAAAAAAAAACCAGCTGAGCAAGAGCGAGACCCCATCCTACTATAAATAGAAAGTAATTAACTGGCCACTAATATATATATATAGAAAAAATAGCCGGGCAGTGGCACATGCCTGTAGTCCCAGCTATTTGGGAGGCTGAGGCAGTAGGATCGCTTGAGCTCAGGAGTTTGAGGTTGCTGTGAGCTAGGCTGATGCCACGGCACTCACTCTAGCCTGAGCAACAAAGTGAGACTCTGTCTCACAAAAAAAAAAAAAAAAAAAAAAAAAAATCTATGATCTAGCTCTTTGCTAGTCTATGAACAAGCCTTGGTACCATTACTCATGTTATTCCTTTATCTGGAAATACCCTACCCTCTCAACTTCTGCCTGGTAAACTCCTATGCATTCCTCAAAATACATCTCAAACATCACTTCCAGTTCTATACCTTTTGCTTATATCTATAGCATAGTTCCTGCGGTCTTTTGTTCATATCTGTATAATAATACTTATTGTACTTTGTTATCATTAGTTTGTTTTGTATTTATGCCTCCTGACAATTAGTAACATCCTCCCAGCATCTACCACAATGTTGAAACAGGGCAGATACTCAATAAATGTTTGTCAAATGCCTCAGTGAATTAATCAATCAATTATGAGAATTGGTGACATCTCTTGGAGATTGAATAGATAATATTGCCTATGACAAAGCAATGAGTCCTATTAACTAGGACTCACCAGAGAAATCTCTCTTGTGCCAGTGTCAGAAAAACCTGTATTTCTCCTAAGCCACCTATTTATTTTTTCTTAGGGGCCTTATGGGTTTTGTGCCTGATTATATTTATCTCTTTAACCACTAGGAAGCTCAGAGCCTACCTTTAGGAACCATATAGAACCATCTGATTTGCATTTCTGGGAGTTGATCTTCCTTTTCCTATTGTTTTCTCTTCAACCCAATTCCTTTAATCATTTATTTTATATTTTTGTGAAGTTTTGCATCCCAAGCTTTTTGTGGAATAAAGTATGCTAAAAGTATAGGATGAAGGAAGCAATCAATAAATCCACCAACCACAGTATTTTCACTGTCCTCGTATAACCTGGTCACCTGGTTTCCAGATCTTTGCCCTCCTGCACATCACAGCCAGGACTTTGGTGGGACAAGGGAGGCATCTAGGGTGCAAAATTTAAGGAAGCACTTACTCTCAGGGCTGTGCAAGTGCCAAACAGTTCCCTTGGACAGTCTTTTTTTTTTTTTTGAGACAGAGTCTCACTTTGTTGCTCAGGCTAGAGTGAGTGTCGTGGCGTCAGCCTAGCTCACAGCAACCTCAATCTCCTGGGCGCAGGCGATCCTTCTGCCTCAGTCTCCTGACTAGCTGGGACTACAGGCATTTGCCACCATGCCCGGCTAATTTTTTTAATATATTTTTTTAGTTGGTCAATTATTTTCTTTCTATTTTTAGTAGAGACAGGGCCTTGCTCAGGCTGGTTTTGAACTCCTGACCTTGAGCGATCCTCCTGCCTCTGCCTCCCAGAGTGCTAGGATTACAGGCATGAGCCACCGCGTCCGGCCTCTTGCACAGTCTTGAGAGTGAGTACCTCCTTAAGACTGAGGCATCTCGGGCACTTGCTCGACCCCAAGAGTGAGTTGTTCCTTAAATTTGCACCCTAGCCATCTCTCTTGCCTCACCCTAGGCTCAGCCCAGCCATTCACAGTCCACGCCTTCAGTACCTGATCCCTTTGGCCAGGATCCTCCTGACCTCAGGTTCCTAGCACTGAATGCAGAGATGGGGCAGGTCCTCATTCAAGCTGCCACTCTACTCTTGGGTGCCTCATGCTATATCAACCCTTTTGGCCACCCCATTACTCGGTTGACCCATGGTAGTCTGCTGTCATGTGAACAGCAACCAAAACAGGTCTTCTCCATCCTGTCCTTCTCTGTTGATTTTGAACCTCCAGAGAATGCCTTAAAAGAGGACATTCAAGAGGCTAAGGAGTCACAGCCATAGAGGAAATGGGTCAAGGAGATGAGACAACAGGAAGAGACAACAGGATCAGAGAGATGGGAGAGTTAGGAAGATAAAGAGACAGGCCAGGTGTGGTGGCTCAGGCCTGTAATCCTAGCACTCTGGGAGGCCGAGGTGGGAGGATCGCTCAAGGTCAGGAGTTTGAGACCAGCCTAAGCAAGAGTGAGGCCCTGTCTCTACTAAAAACAGAAAGAAATTAATTGGCCAACTAAAAATATATAGAAAAAATTAGCCGGGCATGGTGGCGCATGCCTGTAGTCCCAGCTACTCGGGAGGCTGAGGCAGAAGGATTGCTTGAGCCCAGGAGTTTGAGGTTGCTGTGAGCTAGGCTGACGCCACAGCACTCTAGCCCAGGCAACAGAGTGAGACTCTGTCTAAAAAATATATATATATCAGAGATATGAGGTCAGAGATAAAAGCCAGAGACAATGTTGAAATGATGGTGTCAAAGGGAAGGATACATGAAAGAAATGGGGGTAGAATCAGGATGGAGGGCCTAAAGCTTAGGGACTTGGAAGAATCAGAAACCTGAACAGAAAGTAAAAAGAAATAAAGAAGAAAAGAAAATAAACAAGAAATAAAAATTAGGGAAAGGAAGAATTCAGTACATAGAGGGTTTGGGGAAGGAAGAAACCTAAAAGGGGGCAAAGAGCTGGGAGACAGGGCTGAGATGGAGCAAGGCTGTGAGGGTGGGGGAAACCGGAATGACCAGGGAGGATAATTTACCAGAAACACAGATCTCTCTGGCCTGGGCTTTCTCTCTCTCTCTTTTTTTTTTTTTTTTCTGGGTCTTGGGTTAAAAAGAGGAGCCATCACCAGCCTCTCTCTGTCCTTCCACTTTCCACCACTCTGTACTGGGAAGAGCTGGGGCTAGGTGAGGGGCCACCACTGCTGCTCTGGTGCCCAAGATCACTCCACCCTTGGGCTCAGGTGAGGAGGCAGGTGCTGGTGAGGGGCAGGAGGTGCTTCTCTCCTGCTCTGGGATTCACCCAGGCTCGGGATCCAGCAACCAGCTGTCTATCCTCTCTGGAGAGCATGCCTCTCAACGATGGGAATGCAGAGGGAATGGAAGCCAGGAGGGTCTGGGCTGGCTGTGGGTTGAGTGTTTCAGGATAGGGCTGGTTTGTGAGCCACAGGAAAGGGCAGCGCCAGGAGAGCTTGCACTGAAGGTTTGCAGAGAGCTAGGAGAAGAACATCATCCCCAATTAAATCGTGTGGTCCTTAGCCAAGAATCACCACTCTTGAGAGGAATCTCTCGTGAAGGAGTAAGCCCTGTGCTGACCACCGCGCCGCATCCACTCCACACAGCAAGAGAGGAAGGCGCAGAGAAGCTCACTTCAGCTGTTCAACACTCTTCCCTGGGGCCTGGCTTTCCCTTCACAGAGGCGGGTGGGGATGGGGGCCTCTGGGGGAGGAGAAAAGGGGAAGGAGGTGTCTGGGGATGCAGGGGCGGGGCTGACAGCAGGAAATGAGCTGCGAACCAGAACCGCCATCACCCTCCCTCCACTGCAGGCGCCTCAGCTCAGAGCAGAGGAGGGCACAAAGAGGAAATGACAGATTGGGGTGGGGTAGGATGGGGGGGTAAAGACTTGTGCTCTTCGCTGGGAGGAGCTTGAAGTGCCAAAAACAAGCTGGGCAGGGCCGCCAAGATACCTGGCTTCAATTTCAAATCAAAGCAAGAAGTGGGGTTTTGAGTGGACACTCCATGTGGGGCCCAGTTGCGAGCCCAGTGTTGTCCCTGGTCCTGCTGGCTTCAAAGCCCTCTCCAAGGTAACCCAGGGATGGATCTGGGTGAGCTCCACGGACAGCCCCCACACCCACCCTCCTTTGCACGCTCCCCTCCCCTCCAGCTTCAAACAGGCCTTGGGCCATGGCCATCTCTTTCACTCTTCCCCATTTCAGCAGTTCTCCTCTAAGCCCTCACTTCCAACATGTTTCTCCTTTGCACAGCGAGAGTGGGAGAGTCACAGAGCCTGCGGGAGGAGGCTGTGCCCACCCCACATCCTCACCTGTGGCCCAGCGAGGCTGCAGCGGGCCCAGAGCCCACAACCTTGCCCCAGGGCTCTCCCCCAGCCAGGAAACCCCCTTCCTCCACCAGCGCCATCCTCAGACTCCCCAGGAGCCCATCTCCCGTCCTTTCATTCAGACACTAGGACAAACATTACCCCTTCAAGCCACTCCTTTCTTGACCCTGTTGGCTCAGCCTCCCTCTCCTGTCCTGGATCACTGGTCCTTCGCCTCTGCTTCTTCCTAGGTTCCCAATCTCTCCATCCTCCCGGTGCTCGCATCCCCTCAGCCAACATTTCCAGAAAGTTACACAAGGAAGCCACCCTATCTTCTTCACTGGGCCACGTTTCCTGTCTTGCCTGCTCATAAGGTCTCTTGAGTGGTGACCCCCGGCCACTGCCCCTTCCCTAGGAGCACCGGAAGCTGCTTCTGCCCCTTAGACTGGATCGGGCTGAAGACGCCCTGTGCCTCCCCACCCACCCCACAGCAGCTCTGAGTTGGGTCCTTACCCTCCTGGCCTGAGTGCTGCAGGTGCTCCTGCAGGTCACACCCAAACACCCGCTCCTTCGAGCTGCCCTTCTTCTTTCCTTTCTGCCGAGACTTCATGGCCGGAGCCCCAGAACTCTGGCCCGGCCACCTCTGTCCCCCAAGACCTTTGCCCTACCAGTCCCCCATGGGATCCCAGCTGGCCACTGGGCTTGGCCCAGCCCCAGAGGGGCAGGGCTCCAAACTAGGGGTGGAGGGTGGCCTGGGCAACGGGCAGCGGCTCCTGCCACTGGGGCCCCGGCCTCACGGAAGTGGCTGGGGAAGAGGAAGCTGCGAGGACCCCGGCAAGAAGCTGTGTCTCGTGGCCCAGACTGGCACTCGCCCTGCTCACCCTGCTCAGCTCTGGGTGGGGGGGCAGGAAGCTGTGCAGCTCCTCAAACCCACTTCCTGATAGAGCATCTCTGCAACCACAGGGCCTGGGGTGGGGGAGGTAGCTGATATTCACATCCTCACCCATTGCTGAGACTTCGCTTATTGGTCAAGGGGAGGTGATGTCAGAGCCCTGGGGTGGGGTGATGGCGCCTGGGGTGTGAGCAGGTGACTGACATCCTCGGAGACCAGACTTCTCGGGTCCGAGGTGGAGACATGAAGCGTGCCTGGGAGCGAGGCGACACAGAGCTGTGCAAAGCACACCCGGGAGGGAGGATGTCCCGGCTCCACCTTTGAGGGGCCTGTCACCTCAGTAAGTCGTATTACTTCACTGAGCCTCATTTCCCACTCATATGAAAATGAAGGTGATCTTTAAATCCTCCAACAGTCTGTAAAACTCATTTAACTTGAGTTTCAGTTGCTTTTTCTGTATAAAGGGTATTTCACACAGCTGTTTGTGAGTCTCCAGTAAAACAAAGAATCTGAAATATTGTGCAAACTAAAGCATCGGCTATCCTAGAATGGGTTCTTAGCTCCACTGTCCTACCTGGAACCCTCAGAGATGGCTGAAGCTCTTGTGGAGGCCAATCTTTGACCTTTCCCTCCCAGCGACAGGCATCCTAACTCCTACCCTACCTGGGACTTCGAGAAGGATGGCACTGAGACAGCAGTTAGGGAATTCAGGGCTCACACAGTTCAGGGGGCAAGACAGGAACCAGACAGAACAAGTTTGCCTGTTTATTTAAAAACAGAATATCATTTTATGTACAAATATGCACATATTTACACAAAATGTACATATTAGGGTCTTAGAACTTTAGACCCCACTTTCAAAGTCCTGGGCTGGCTGAGGAACAGGGGTCGGGAACCTCTCCTTTAATCCAGAAATCCAGCAGATTTGGGGGCAAAAAGGGTTTGGGCACTAAATCTAGGTATTCTGGCTGAGTGTGTTGGGTGGGCTACATAAAAATAAACCTCATCTAACCCCTGCCCCCACCCAGAGAAACTGCTGGAAAAGCCTTGAATTAGTGACCCAGAAACCCCTGGGGGAAAAGGCAACATTCTCACCCTCCGGCACCTCCGGCACCTCACCTGAACTCTCACCCTCCCTCTGTCTATAATCACCACTCCCTCTCCCCTACACCACCACTGAACCAGGAGCCCTTACCACCAAGTCTCCGCAACTCCCCAAGGGACCACAAACGACTGTGGATACAACCGGAAAAAAGAGACAAGGCTAGGGGAGAGGTGAGGGGCCAGTAGGGTCAAGGACCCTCCCTTAGCCAGTGACCAGACTCCACCAGCTCTCGGGCTCGCTCCCAAGGGGCCGACTAGATGAAGATGCCTTAGAAGGAGCACCTTTCAGAACCACAGGAGTTAACCCCTGGGGTGGGGTCTGAGTGAGGTCTAGCCTCACTTTAAGCAAACCCAGGGACAAGCATTGGGTTAATCAAAAACTATTTTAACAGTTTTTCCTCTTATTAAAGGATTCAGAGCAGTATTTCTGAAAGACGCTCCCCTGTGAAGGTTTATTTACAGAAAATATGTACATGCAGCAGGCCCAGGGGCCACCAGAGGGCAGAGGGCTTCTTCTGTAACAGTTCGAGCCTCTGGCAGCCCCCTGGGCGGCTGCTTCACACTTGTCCTGACAGCTCCCAGTGGAGGGGACGTGCTGCCCCCCTCCAGAGGCCAGATTCCAGCTCCAGCTACGCCCGCATATCTGGATCTGACCCACAGTCTCCACCTTTCACCTCCAACCTCTGCCTCATTAATACTGCTCCGGGGTCTGAGGACAATGCCTGCCTCTACAGGCAGAGGTCACACACAGCCACGCAACACACAAACCACACCCACAGCACACACACCGTGTTTCACTTGGACTCTGACATGACCGTGTGACACGCACCACAAACACGCACCACAGTCCCTCCAGGCACACACAGTCGATGAAACTCACACAGCACAAATACACACACACAGTGACCTGCACACAAGGTGGGAGGGGCTCAGTCAGTGGAGCCCTCCCGATGAACAGACGGGTTGGAGGAAAAGGTCGAGCAGTCAGTGGGGTGGGGAGCATCTTCCTCAAGAAGTGGGGTCTTTTAAGGAGACCCCCAAGATGAGCTGAAATCCCCCGTGTCAGCAGAAGGAGCCAGGCCTAGGGGAGGGAGGCAGGCCTGGGTCAGACCAGGTGCCCCCGCCCATTGATGTAGATGCCGTTGCCCGTGGGCTTGGCCCGCAGAGTCCCATTCTCCTGGACAAAATGGTTCATGGCCTGCTTGATGCCTTCATCCCGATCTTCCTCCTCCTCTGCCCGCCCAGAGCCGGGCGACAGCAGTTCAGTCTGTGTTTCGATCTCCCTCACTGTGGTCAGCGTAGAGTAACTGCGGCCCTCTGGCTCTTCACTCTGCAGGCCAAGGGCAGAGGGCACGTCAGGACCAGGCCGGGCAGCCAGACAGAGTGGGGTACGGTCGGGTCACGGTGGGCTCAGAGGTCAGGCACAAGCAGGGGTAATGGTTTTCTCTGAGGCACAGGGGCTCAGAGGTCAGAGGCCAGGACCAAGTGTCAGGCATGGGGAGGGGAGGCGGGAGAACAAAGGCATAGCAGACAAGCGGTCTTGGGCAAGGTGAGCCAGGGCTGAGGCCGGAGGGACTGGTAAGGGAGCTGCTGACGCATCACGTCTGGGACCAGGACAGGGGCCTGAGGAGAGTGGTGGGGACACCGGTGGGGCCGGGGGCCTCACCATCACAGAGCAGCTACTGTTGTCCTTGAGACTATCAGGGTGGCCCTCGGCTCTCAGCCCTACACTCTCCTCCGGCTGCAGGGCCCAGACATGGGGGAGGAGTTAGAACAGAGCTCAGCCTCCTCAGTCTTCCCCTCTTGTCCTCCACCAGCCTCCTCCCTAATCGCCGTTCCCGCACAGGTCCATTTTCTCCTGGACACAAACATCCGCATTCCCTTGCTGCCACCCCACGCCCACCTGGAACCAGTGCTGATGGTGGCTTCCCAGAGCAGCCCCTAGGCCAGTGTTGATGGGCCTTCTGGAGCAGCCCTAGCAGGCACAAAGCAGCTACGCCCCCTCAACCCTGCCCCCAGCCCAGCTCCGACTCAGGGTCGGACCGGGCAGAGGGCTGTGCTCCCGCTCTGCAGAGGGGGCCCAGGCACAAGCAGACCCCAGTGCAGCCACACCCCATGCATGCACCAGCCTTGGCACACACCTGGCTCCTGGGGTCCGAGTGATGGGAATGCAGCCTCCGGATAGAGTTCTCCCTGGTCAGGGTTAGCTCCTCCTCACTGAGAAAGACACCCCCTTGTCAGGAGCTGAGGGTAGTGGCAGCCTCCCAGGGTGAGCCTATGCAAGACGGGCTGGAGGGTGTGGGTGCTATGCTAGCCCTGCAAGCATGAGTGTGTGGCTGCAGGGGGCAGTGTGGCTGAAGAGCGTATGTGTGTGCCGAGCATGTGTGCACATACTTGGTGATGCCCTGGCAAGTGCATCTGATCCTCACTCAGGCAGCAGGGCTCCCCACATCCAGCTGTGCTCCAGACCCCAAGTGTCTCCTCACTTCCCAAGAGACCCCACAACCCCTTGTCCGTAAGCCCCCCAGCTGTCAGGCCACCCAGTCTCCTCTCTTCCCACCTGGCCCACCTCCTGCTTGCCTCCTTTCTGTTCCCAGCTTAGTTCCACCGCCCAGGAGCGGCCAGTACTCACTATTTCTGGGTCATCTGCTGGGCTTTGCGCCGATGGTATCGGGACATGAGCACCACCACCACCACCAGGAGGCAGAACAAGAGTGCGGCGATCACACCCACCACCACCACCGAGGCCGACACCAGGTCCACCTGTTTCCCCGTGTCCTCCTGAGGGTCTGCTGGAGACAGGCCACTGGCTGAGGGGGATGCCCAGATCCATGACCCACCCCGGAACACACAGCGCCCCCCCGCCTCCGATCACAAAACACATCCAAAACCTCCCCGTCAGCTTGGCCCTCTGCAAAATACACACAGTCAGCCGCCTCCAAATACATACTTCCCCCATTCACTCTCTTTGTCTTGCTTCCTGGTGCCCCCACCAGGCCCTCAGCCCAGGTCCCTCGTCTCTGCCCCCTGTGCTTACCAAGAACATCCACAGTGACCCGAGAATCCCTCGAGAAGAGCTCGTTGCTGACGTGGCAAACGTAGATGCCACTGTGCTCAGCGGTCAGCCGGGGAAAGCCCAGGGTGTCCCCTTCCGCTCGTACCCCACTGGGCAGAGGCCCGTCCACCCTGGAGGACAGGGAAGCTTAAGGGTGCTGGCTGGGGAGGGCAGAGGCTGCCACCACCCAACGTGCCCAGGCAGCTCTCCACCCCTCTCCCCCATGACGTCACCCAGAGCCGCCGGCTGTTCCCACGGTGCCCCTCCCTCCCCTAGGCAGGTCCAGGCAGAGGTCCCTTCTCCCTGCTGCCCAGCCTGACCCGGGCACCCCCCACACACTCGGGAAGATCCACATGTGTGCCATCCCACATGCTCCCACAGGCATCACGTCACCCAGCACTGGGTACCAGGGACACATGTTATAAAGTCCACACAGCAGGACACTCCACTCCTAGCTGCGCTTGGAGGCAACTGGAAAATGTGACTGCACGCTCCAACACCCATGATGTTATATGGCAAGGTACATGAACACAGCTCCAGGCACAAGGCCACATACATCGCTCCCATGCCCACATGTGAGAACATGCTTGTCAGGGGCTCACATATGTGTGTGCCTGACCCCTCCCCAATTCTCTGGACATCTCAAACCCTGGGAAAAAAGCCAACAACTCCTTGAGGGAATTGGCGGAGGTACGTGGGTATTTTCAAGGTTCTGGCAAGATCGTGGTGTTTACAGTAGTGTTGGTTTAACAACAGTTACAAATTCAGCTGTGTCTTTTTATCTTAGGCACTTTATGAACTCACATAAATATATAAAATATTAATATTCAAATGCTGTGTTATATTCCACAATTTAAAAGCTAGAAAAAAGCTGGTGTGGTGGCTCACGCCTATAATTCTAGCACTCTGG